CCTACTGCTCCCACTCCTCCTTCTGCTCCTACTCCTACTCCTCTGCCTCCTCCTACTCCTCTGTTCTCCCGGATTCCTACTGCCACTACTACTCCCAATCCTCCTCCTACTCCTCTTACTTCCGATGTTCCTCCTACCTCCTCCTCCTCCTCCCGCTCCTACTGTGTTCATGAATCTTCTGTCAATAGGCGGCCTCTACGCTGACGCACGGCCTGGGTCCCCGCTTCGTGATGGGGGACGTTGTCTACCAGGATTTCGAGAAAGAGGCCGGGCTTCAGTTCTGAGTTCCAGGTGTTATAGGTTTAGGGTTCAGGATTCAGCGTTTAGGATTTAAGAGATTTAGGGTTTAGGATTGAGGTTTAAGGGTTTTCCGGGTTTGGGGCTTGGGGCTTAGGGGTTGGGATTTCAGAGGCGGAGGGCTTAGGAAAGATATACTTCCTTGCAGCGGTGTTGATCGTGCCCTGAGCTTCGTCATGGCAAGCCATTGAGAACGCTACAGCTGGTAAGAAAGGTGGTTATAGTGCTCGTAGTTGTCGAACAAATACCAACAATGTCATGTCAACGGCAGTACTAAAAGGGTACTACTGACTAGCGTTCGTGCCAGTACATAAGCCAGATAACTTGGATTATCGCACAGCCCAGAACGGTGTAGAACCGAGTTGGCATAGCCTGACCAGATGAACCCTGGTCGTGGCATCGTCGACGTCATCTCAGTGGAGCCCTGTCTGAACTTGGATGAGTTTGAGTATTCAAGGATACTTGTCGGTGTAGAGTTTGGGGGCATTTTTCACTCCAGGGCCTGGGCTCTGGCAGTTTAGAGCCGAACAGCCATGTGCCTCAAGTGTTAGCTGGAAGCGGGCCCTCTAAATCGTAAGATGCATCCTGAGGATCATCATGAGTTTTCTCCCGCCCCGATGCCCACCCTGGCACTGAGACCACCAGTTCAAGCCGTTCTTGACAGTCGTGATTGCAAACGGCACTTCGCCAGAGATCCGAAAGCCGCCAGAGAGCAACCCCCTCAGACATGGCATCCAAGCGACGCTGAGATCCTGCAGTCTCTTCTCTTCACGGCCATGGGCACCTGCACCGCCCGGGAGAAGAAGCCGAGATACTACCAGAAGCGATCTGGCTGCAGTGGGCTGTCTGGATCTTTGATCATCAGCTGTTGTTGATGCACGGGCCCAACCATGTGCATCATCGCTGCGGCCTCTTCCTCAGCACAAACTACCACCAACACCACTACCGCCCCCCCGGCTGCCACCGCCACCACCACTACTACCACCACCACTGTCACAGGCGCCGACAAACCTGTCGTTGTTATCAGCATCGTTGCCCTCGACGCCATCCTCATCCTCAGCATTCAGCTCATGTCTTGTTTTTGCTACGCCCTTACGGTCACTGCACACGCACCCGAGGTTTACCCGGTCACTCTCGTCCTTGGCCACAGCTGCATCTGAGTCTGGGTCCGCGACAATGCAAGGTGGCTCTCTCGCAGATTAGCAAATGGAGTCGGGGCCAGAGCACCGATAGGCAAGCAAAAACCCTTACTAAACCTATTGAACCCTGAAAAGGCCCCAACCTTCATCTCGTGCCCTTGAAGATCCCTGAATGCCACGTCTAAGGCCGCAGTAACCTCGAGTTCGAAAGCCCGGCCAAAATCCAAAAGCCTTCGGCGCACTAGGCAAAGATTTGTTCCGACAGACATGTCTTATTACCATCATAAAACTGTTCATCGATGTAAAAGATTCCGTCCGAGTATAGTTTTCAGTGCGCTTGTTGACTCCACGATGCCCCAAAAAGAGCCCGCAAGCAGGGCTGCAGTCCATGGCCAGCGGCATCCAGGGTCGCCTGTCCTCCAGCTCGGACACTGCTTCCCGCCTTTCATTCGTTACGGGTTAAGGGCGGGGGTTTTGGGGAGAGGGTGTAGGGGTTCAGGGTTTGTAAGCTTGTGGGTTTAAGTCTTAGGGCGGGGTTTTGGGTTTAAGGTTCAGGATTGATGGTTTGGGTTTTCCGGATCGGGTTCAGGCTCATTTTCTAATCCCAAATCATACAATACACAATATAAGTATAAAACATATCATGTTATACAGGGGTCGGTTCGGATTACAGGAGGATCCCCGATGGCTAAGGGAAGGATCCCCCGGCATAAGCCTTAAAGGTGAGGCGTCCGTGGGTCTTTACAGCTTCATAATCCGGGTGCATTGTTCGAGATGTAACTACGGAGGAAACCCTATACACTAAACCCTGAACCCTCAATCCCGCAGAGTCAATGTCCCGGCAAACGTCCCGGACAGAGTTCAGTGTCGGGTCCGGCATTGGGATCCTGGTTGAAGATTCGAAATGCTTTCAGATATTTCATGACCGAGAACAGGTATTAAGCCTAGCTTCCTGGATTATCCAAGGAAGTGAACTGATATATGCTTTTTTGTTGTGGTGCAGGGGTGCCGGCCACAAGTGCGTCTGCTCCGCACATTCAATTGACAAGCAACCCGGGAGAATCCAGAGTTGCAAAGACAAGCCTTGAACTCCAACCCCCCAACGCTAGCAATCTCCGCCAGTCTTCTATTGGAGGCCTCACTGACTACCATGCAATATTCTTCCTTGCGGATCCGTGCTACAATTATAGTAACGTATTATTACTATACCCCAAAACCCCACACTAATTACAAGGTTCCTTACGCTATTCCAATTTGAATTCCAATATAACCCGGAATAGAATAGACATCCAAACCAGACTGTTTCTCCGATCTCGAGATGTTGGCGACGGATTTGCGAGATTGCCCAGCTAAGTAAGCTGAAAACTTCTTCAGCAATGTAAGGGCCTTAATTATTAGAATAAGGTTATGGAATACATTCTACTGTACTTGCTCAAGGGCTCTGAGGCAGCATTTGTTATTACAATCCTATTCACTTCCGACCCCGACATGGTTCCCCTGTGCCTCAAGTCAAGACTCGGAAAATCAGGCTCAGTCGCCTTGGGCTTGGCTGGCACCCTGTCAGATCTGCGAGAAGCCGCAGACGACCGATGAGATCGTGGTGGACTCCCGGCGAAGTTGAGCTTCTTCGACGGAAGGGATCAGTAGAAAGACTGATGACGATGACGGCGACGATGATGAAGAGTACTGTGATGACCATCACCAACATCATCGCCACTGAGACAAAGAGGTTGGATTTGGGGGTTTTACGAGGGTGGACATAGTTTGATGTCCTTGTAGCTCACGGGCTATTGTGGCCATCCATAGCAGAGGGCTTAGAGCTTTGATGTGACTTGTCTTTCGCAGTAGAGGCGCATGATCAGTAGGACTGTCTCGGCTGTTGGGTTTTTCATTTGGTTTCAGGGTCGCTTCAGACTGTTGTGGTACGTCTTGGTCTGGAAATCACATCGTTGTAGACTGTCGCTACTTGCTTTATCATTGCTGCCATGACCAGTTGCTGGACAGTTTTGACCGTTTCCATCATTGCCTTCCCAAACTTGAACTCCAAGCCCTGAGCCAATCAACCGCAAAGTCGGTCAGCTTCAGGACCCCGCGGCATCTTCTAGCCTTCCAACAGAGGGAAGCTGAAGAGAATTTAACTTCATCTTGACACGAAAGCGCAGGGGCGTTGGAGAGTGCGCTCTCTTCTCTGCATGGAAGCCAGTCGCCAAAGCTTCCGAGGTTTGGGATTCACATTTCGTTGGTGGCTGCCTAGCCTTATGCCTCAGTTCATGAATCGAAGCTCACAGAGCAGAAGTCGAGGCTTAAAGAGCAGAAATGCAGAAAAGTAGAGGTGGGTGCAGCATCCGTTGTTCTGCGGATCTCCTCCTGCATCCCGAGCCCAGCTACATGCTCTTAAGGGAACACCCAACGAACTCGCGCTTTTGGTGAGAAGCCAACTTATGGAGCGAATTCGGCGAAGCTCCGGATTGCATAGAGAGGGTCTCAGCCGCCTTTGATGCCCCTGCAGGAGCCTTGTCTTTTTACTTGTGAAGTTCGGCCGGGTTAGTTTCCATTGCCCTGGTAGCGGTACTGGTGCGGCCGTCGGGTGCAAGGATGCCAGCCTATCAACAGGGTCAGGGACTAGACGACGTCCTTTAGCAGGACACTGCGCAATTAACCGCAAACATGAGTTTGCAGAGGCAAATCTAAAGATGGAGAGAAAGAGAGAGAGAAAGAGAGATAGAGAGAGTCAGAGAGAGAGAGAGCGAGAGAGCGAGGGAGAGCATTTGGGAGTGCAAGTAGCGACATCAGCTATTGACTTGCTACGGCTGCTGCGGCTACTGCTATAACGACGGCGAAGACTATTGCCTGTACTACGAGAAGACCACTTGCTACGCTGGTATTAGTACTAGTGCTGTTTTTTCTGTTTTGTGTGGCCAGGTTCCTGTTTTGCTTCCGATTGCCTTCGTAGCTGTTCACCGAATTATGTCGTTTCAACGAGCAGTGCAGTTCTTCGTTCGAGGTGTGGGTGGCTGATCCGAGTTTCCTTGCAGGGGTCACTCCAAGACACAAGGTCTGGAGTTGAAGGGCCTGGCTGCCTCTGGAGTTTTGATGCAGCGACTTAATCTCACTAGCTGGCGTCCGTGGTAGCTGGCATCAAGGGGTGTTAAAGGGGCATGGCATCCGCAAAACCGGGCCAGTGACATGGCAGAATCTTGGCCTCAATTCGAATCTGCCCCGAAACCTTTCGATGCTGGCTACCTGGCCTCTTCCGGCGTCAGAGAGAACCTGGCGGCATACCTGCGCAGACTCCTGCCAGGATCATACCGCGTTGTCGCCTTTTCGTTGTTGGATGATACAGATGTTCCGCAAGTGCCAAACCACGGGCTCAAGTGCCGATGTCTGATGAAGGTCCCTGATACTGCACCGTGTATAGGACATCTAGGACATCTGCGATCCAGCATCATAAAGGATCACACCATGAACATCATCGCCTCCCTCATGCTCATGATCCGAACCCTTTCCATCGTCATGGTCTTCACCTTCGTCAACATCCCCGTCAACATGTGTTCCTTCCCTCCTGTTGTTTGTCTGTCTTCATGATTTTCTCAGCAGCTGAAGCACCGGCCGTATCCCCGCTTACTACCAAAATTAGCTGTAAAATCCTCCTCCTCATCGTCATCATCATTATCATCGCAAACTGCACTGTCATCAACATCATCATTGCAGCCATCATCATGATGATGACCATCATCATCAGCATCACAGTTGCTACCATTGCCAGCGCCAGTACAGTACCATCGCTCGTTGCAGCAGTGCAGCCAGCATTATCAGCAGCAGCATTCTTCGTGTCTTCACCATCCTGGCCAGGGCCAAGATAGCTTTGTCCCCTGTTGCCAAGATAACGATTTGTCGTGACTGTCACTGTGCATTATGTCCAGCAGAAGTTTTCCGAGCAACAGAAACCGGCAGCAGCAGCAGCAGCAACAGCAGCAGCAGCAGCAGCAGCAGCACACAAGCAGCAGAAAGTAGATCCAGGCTTCCTGCCTCTAGATTTCGAGATTTCAACTTTTCCAGATGTCCACATGTGAACTATAGAGGGTATCTGGAAGCCTTTTAATCAAAAGGCATGCAACTCTGGCTATCTCTCTGAGTCGACAGTTCTGGGCTGACCGAGGTAGGGAACAGGGGAATGATATCTTTATTACAGGCATTATTGAAGCAACATTGTACAAGCTGTGCACATATACGTATCTACACGTGAGTGTGTGTACATACATGCGCACCTATATATATATATACATACACATTTACATATATGTATGTATGTATATATATATATGTGTATGTATGTATGTATGTATGTATGTATGTATGTATGTATGTATGTATGTATGTTTGTATGTGTATATATATATATGTATATGTCCGTGTGTGTGTGTGCGTCTTTGTATGCATGCATGTGTATGAGTATGAGTATGTGTGTATACATGACACATACAAGTACCAGTGTAAATGCAAATGTTAGTGTGGGTTTTCATAGGTATATGCACAGCACTAGCTGGAGTAACAGACCCCAAGGCAGTTGTGCTCATGAAGCAAAGCCCATGCTTTTGATGGCAGGCCACCCGCGTTAAAGTTGATGGGTTTCAGCGAGCCAGGCCCACTCCGGATGCGGTTTGGTTCGGTAGTTGGCGCTAGAACACTAGCGGCTTGCGCGTTTTTCATGTTGCAAGGTTCGCTTAGGTTTGGAGTTGGCGGCATAGGACGACTTCACAGGCTGGCGTTCGTGGTTGACAGCTTCTTTGCGTTTCGAGTGCAAAGTTTAGCTGTTTTCCGACATCACCAGGCTGTCAGCAGCCCTAAGATGCTAAGCCCGCACAAACCGAAAACCCAAGAACCAACCCGAGATGCAGTTAAAGTTCCCGCGCGAAAACGATCAATACTTACCATGGAAGCTGGAGCCAAAGCTCCATTGCGAGGCATGGTGCCGATACCGGTGGTGGGCTTCCGGTGCGCCGTCTCGATTGGTGCTGGGATTTGTGCCTTTTGATCTTCCGCTCTCTCGTGAGGGACCATCTGTAGCAGCGAAAAATGAAACTCGCCAAGCGAACCCAGAATCACGATGGTAACGGTGAGGGTTTCCAGACAGAAGGGTAGCAACCAGCAGCAGACCAAACCAAGAGCAGCGGTAGCTCAGCAGCACCAGGTCCCCACCGTCGCAGTTAATGGAGGCGGTTTTCGTTCGCGCGTCGTCATCGTCGGAGTGTCGTTCAGAGTAGTGGGGGCGACTTGGACTAGAAACCCCGAAAGGATTGGAGAATCCTCTGCATCACGGCGCGTCTGCTTAGTTAGGATGCATTCAGCCATTTCTATGAAACTGGTGTTAGAGTCTGGCATCTTCCTGTTTTGGGGCCCCCATCTCGCGGCGAGTGCCTCCATGGCCTGTATCGGCCTTTGGAAGATACTCGGAAGGACAGGGTCGGTAACGTTTGTAGTAGCTAGTATTGTTTATAAGACTGTGGATGATGTTCGTCGTAATCTCAGTAGCAGTGTCATTAATTCTTCTAACAAGAACAACAATAGTAACAAAAAAGTCGTAACGCTAGTAATAGTGTGGTAACAACAGAAATAGCAGTCATAGAAGATGAGTTGAAAGGCTGCTTCGCCCAACGAAGGCCCCACACCCCAAAACCCTACGCCCCAAACTAGAAGATCTCAAAACCCTAAAACCCTGGGCTCCAAACTATAAGATCCCAAACCCCAAAACCCTAAGCCCCAAATCATAAGGTCCCACAACCCTAAAACCCTAAGCCCCAAACTATAAGATCCCACCCACAACCCTAAAACCCTAAGCCCCACAAAATATTAAGATCCCCAAACCCTAAAACCCAAATTAAAAAGATCCCCAAACCCTAAAACCCAAGTTAAACGATCCCAAAGCCCTAAGCCCCAAACTATAAGATCCCCAAACCCTAAGCCCCAAACTATAAGATCCCAAAACCCTAAGCCCCAAACTATAAGACCCCTAAAACCCTAAGCCCCAAACTATAAGATCCCAAAACCCTAAGCCCCAAACTATAAGACCCCTAAGACCCTAAAACCCCTAAGTCTTCACCCAGGGGCAGTCCGTGGATCCGTGGTCGCCTTTTGGAAGCTCCGACGGCCTGGGCCTCACCTGCCCTTCAGTGCCAAACGCCGCTGTGAACAATGCAAGTGATTGGGGTTTAGAGTAATATTAGGGGTTTAAGGGTTTAGGGTTTAGGGGTTTAGGGGTTTAGGGTTTAGGGTATAGGGTTTGAGGGGTTTAGGAAAAGGCTTAGGGTTTGGGGTTTAGAGTTTAAGGTGTTTAGGCTTTAGGCTTGAGGGTTTGGTGCTCAGCGTTCACAGTTTAGTAGTTAGGGTTTATGAGCCCCCGAATCCATAAACCCAAAACATAAGCCAGCAAGAAAATCAATACCTTGCTGATTAAGTAGAACCTAGAACTGAAGTTAATTAACCTGATCAAAAAGAACAAACAAGCAAGCTCCCCCGCACACGAAAAACGACAGCCTAAACTCTAAATCGTAAGCGGTTTAGGGTTGCGGTGATCCGAGACTGCGGGCATAGGCTCTGCAGGGCTTGCCGTGAAAGGATTCC